CAGACACTTCACAGAAAAAGAAATATGGGTGGTCAACAAATACATGAAAAAATGTTCAACATCTCTAGCAATTAGAGAAATGTCAATTAAAACTATACTGATATTCCATCTCACTTCAGTCACAATGGAAATAATATTAAGAATACAAGTAGGTACAGTAAATGTTGGTGAGGATGTGGAGGAAAATATTCACTCATACATTGCTGATGGGACTGCAAATTGGTGTGACCCATCTAGAAAGCTGTATGGAGATTCCTCAGAAAATTTAGAATGGAACCACCATTTGACTCATTTATCCCACTCCTTGGTATATATTCAACAGATTTAAAATCAGCATGCTACAGTGACACAGCCACATCAATTTTTATAGCAATTCAAATCACAATAGTTAAACTATGGAACCAACCTAGGTGCCCTTCAAAAGATGAATGGACAGAGAAATTCTGGTATGTATACACAATGGAATATTATTCAACCTTAAAGTACAATGAAATTATGGTATTTTCTGGTAAATGGATGGATCTGGAGACTGTCATGCTAGGTGAAATAAGCCAATCCCCAATACAAAAGGTCAAGTAACACACAAGTAGTAACACACAAGTAGTAACACACAATGAATGGGGGGGTGAGGGGCAGAAGAGAAGTATAATAAAATATACAATGGGGAACGGAGGGAAGGGAGGGGGATAGGAAAAAGAAAGACAGTGGAATGAGTCTGGCACAATTTGCCCTGTACACATATGAAAACAACACAGTGAATCCACCATCTTGTACATCCACAGAAATGGGATCCTAACTAGAATAATAGATATTTCTTCTTTTTTTCCCGTTGGCATTAAAAGTTTTTATTTGGAATTTGATCCACAATCTATACAAGTTATTTACAAGACATGAAAATGGAAAACAGCACAAAATAAAATTGAGGTATAAGCTAAGAGCACAGTATGTCATGTTTCAATAAATATAATTCAAAATTTGTAAACTAAGTGACCAGATAGATGAGTCATTTTTTTAGTAAAATCATATAAAATATTTATTTCACGTGAGGTAGAGGACAGTTTTGTGTGTCATGTAATGCAACCAACCACAGCAATTTTAATCTTAAAACTGTACATCATTGGCAAAATTATAAATTGAATTGTGGTCAATATATTTAACAATTTGTTTCAACAGTTGCAGAACAGTTAATTCATTTACTGCCTTCACAGGTTAAAAATTCAGAAATAATTTAAGACTACTATTTTGGCATAAAATTATCAGGATAAACAAATACTCCTAACAAGATAGTTAAAAGCAAGTATATTTTATTTTTCACAAATTCTAATTTCCCCAAAAAATGCCCTAGACTTAGCAATTAATTTAGTAGGATGCTTTTACTAGAACTACTTTAAGTATGCTGTGCTTTATTTTCAAGTGAGGTATCTCTATTGAAGAAAAAAAATCTTATAAATTCATTTTATATTAAACTACTTTGTTTTCTGGGCTTCATTTTAATTTTTTTTTTTTTTACATTTCTAATTGAAAAACAGTAGCACTACATAAGACATTTAATTCTATTCCTAAGCAGGCTTCAAACTGCATTATATTGTTTAGAAGCCAGTTAAGAGGAAAGATTTTACAAAAAAAGAAAAAGACTGTCCTTTTAAAGAAGATGCATTATAAAATACCCATATGCTTTTCTCCCAATAGTGGAAAGGCTTAAGTATTCTATACTAGAAAAAGAAAATTTTAAGCAGTTTATTCAATTTACCAACATATAATACAGCAGCTGTATGTCCCTTATTCCTGATAGCTTCAATAAAAACTATTAACAAGTAGTTCCAAGCACAGGAATAGATGTACAGTATGAGCACAGTTTTTCATTATAGTAATTTTAATGTCCTGTCATGTGGATTAAATGCATAAAGGGCAAATAAAAAAGTGAGCATTCTTCCCTAAGTAATCAGAACATCTTATCATTAAGAAAATTTCAGAAGCTGAGCAAAATCTTCAGTATTAGCTTTGCAATTAATTCTAGGGAAATACTTTGAACCTGTTTTATATTACTTGAGTTTCCTTGTCCTTTTACTTTCCTTCAAACAGAAGCCACAGATGTGCAAACAAATTGGTTGTTCTGTCATCTCTTCTAAAAGATATGGATAACCTGCAAATATCATAGTACTTGGTCTATTTTCACCTACTTTACTTGTTTTATAATTCAATATGTACAAATGATTTTATCTAAACTGGTAATATATTAAATATGCTATAAAATTAGTTCAAGAAGAATAAAACATCCTAATTTTCATGGACACAGAAATTTAAGCAAAAGAATATGCTTTACAAAAATTAAAGCACAAATCAAACTTATGTTGGTTGGTCAAACTTTTCATAGTGTTAGAAGTTGCCATTTGTGAAATTAGGGTGGCTTAAGAGCTTCCTCATTGACAGCAGGAGGTTTTCCATTTAATACCTTTATAGATTTGGTACATTTTTTCATAAAGTTTAGATTATAGATACGCTATCACTACTCAAATTAAAAATCACTCATCACCCAGTAAGCTAAAATTGTCTTTTTTCCTTCTAAAGATGCTCTACCAAAATTCTTTATAGGCTGATCTTTTAATGCAGCTTTTTAAACATTTTTATTTCTCCTAAAAAGAATAATATTATGAAATCTGAGGAAAAATCTGCTTGCAAGTGAACTTGGCACACAAAAACTAACACCAAAACAAACTAAGCTAGCAATCAGCACACAAAAGCATGCAAAGCATAGAATAATAAGTTTTATATGGATAAGATACTTCAGCAGAGGTCACTTTTAAAAGTATTACAAAAACTTCTACATTGTTTTCAAGCTATATGGTGCAATTTAACTTAAAGTTACTTTTAACAATAACAGGTATATTTACAATTGACTAGAAAACTATTTTCAAGGAAGTTAGAAACGTATGGCACATCAATGAATCTTCTGGAAAACAAAGACTATATGTCACATGGCAAGTTTTATTACATGAAGGACTATAAAAATATTTCTTTACTCAATTTTAAATCAAGAATTTATAAATAATTTAATGGTGTTACCACTTAGAATTCTAAAGTAACCCATTTCAAAGATTAAGCAATTTATTTTAGAAGTTTTGGGTTGAAACTTAGGTTAAGCTTATAATTTATTAAGTAACATAAGCAGAAAGGTTTTGAGGGAATTAAAAAAATAAATGAAATTATAGGTGCTTGAGTATATCTACCAAAAAGCTGAGTTATGACAAAACTAATTCACAGCTAAAATAAAACTATATTATAAATGTTTGTGATTCTTCTTTCTCCAGATCTAAATCAATGGCACTGGGAGGATATGTCATTTTTAACATATTTCTGCTTGTCATTTTCACATTGTTCCTCCTTGAGGAGATTTCAAGAATCAACCAATTAAGCTATAGGGTTAACACAGTAAAGCTCAAATGAAAATCACACATTATATAGAAAATAAACTACATTTTGTGAAGTACAAAAGTTCTTTTTGGATATATGAGTACCATTAAGCAAAATATGAAAATAACTAGTTAAATGATAACCTAGTAAATTTTTGAAATTCTATACCATTAGAGTATAAGCCTTCTGTGCTGAAAATAGTATGTAACTTTAACTCTAGCTGATTTATTTTTAAAATAAATTTAGATCTCTTCAGTAATTTCATATAGTACCTTATGAGAACATGAAAAACAAAAAAACTCATGGAATACTAATCAATCTTCCTTCAGAAAACTTAATATTGAGAATTTTACTTAATAACTAACTACTGTGAGATTTGCTATTAAAAACATTTTTTAGACTTCTTGTGCAAAAAAAAGTGCAGATGTTGCCCTTCCCCAAAATATGAAATTCCTTTGCCATCTAAAAATTATCCAGAAACCTTTCAGTAGCAGATAACTAAAGTGACCTATATTAACCTATCAGATACTAGCAGTTTACTGTAAATTCCTGATTTTGATATCAAAGAGCAATTGAAAATGGTCCATTCGTGCAAATTTGGTAAGATAACATTTAAACATACAAAAGTCCAAAATAACCTCAAGGTGTTTAATATTTTATAATTTAAAGAAAAACAAATCCATTATATAAATTTTAGTAAAGACCCATAACTACATATAAAAACTGTACAGGATTATGGATTGTATAGAAACCAATGTACATTAATGGAATCAGTTTTCTCAAGAACATTAATATTTTCACACCACTATTAACACCATTAAAAAGCTCAGAAATTATTTTTCTGAAGTCACTACAAAAAAATTCTAAATATAATCACATTTAAATTGAAAGACAAATTACAACGCTTCTTGTGTTTAGCAGCAAAGCATAACTAACAAAGCATGTTATCTTTGCCCATTGTGTACAAGGGTGGGCTATAACTTCATCAATGAAATTCCTCTTAGAAGACACCAAAAAGAAAACTGGTGGAAATTCAGTTCCACAATCTGAACAAAGTAAAAGCAAATTTTGCATATAATAATGAATGTACTATATCAATTCAGAAAGGAGTTTGTGTTGGTGAGAAAAATGGAGACTCAACTCCTCAAGTAGTTCTATATTACATATTTGAATTATAATACCACCATTTTATATAAAGTTGAGTTTGAAATATGGATAAACAAAATTGATCACTATTTTCCATCACATAATGCAGCTTTTAAAAAGTATACAATTATTAATTTTGCATTAGAAATATAGGTAATTATCTACTAGTTGAAACCATATACTACTATTAACAAGCTGAGTGAAAAAAAGTAAAAAATAAAAAAAAAGAAAGAAAAAAAGTACAAAGAAACATACATTTCATTCATTTGGAAAATGTAAAAATTTATGTACTAATATATAATCTCTTCACTTTCTCTGATCTACAAATGGACAGAAAGCCTATTTATCTTCATGCAGATAAGATGTTCAGGATTCAATCACCAAAGCAAGCAACAAACAAAAAACCCTGTCAGTAATACACAAATGAATCTCTTTCATGGTTTCTATTCTTTAGCAGTCTTTGATGATTTCAAAATTTGCAGCTTTAGCTCTTTTATCATCATCTCTAACTTCTGCCTTGCCTCCCGTTCCTGTCTGAGTTCATCTTGGAGTTCTTGTCTATCAGCCTCAGCATGGTCCAATCTCTGTCTCAGCTCTGCCAACTGTGCTGCATATTCAGTCTCTTTGTCTTTCTCTAAATTTGAGTCACAGGTACATTTTTGCTTCATTACCTGCTCCAATTTTTTCTCCAAGTCTTTCTGTTCAACATAAAATTCTTCCATTCGTTGAGCATGTTCATTCTGCAAAGATTCAAGCTCTTTCTGCAAATTCTGTTGTTCTTCAGTGAGTTCCTTCATAGCTTTTGAACTACTCAACATTTCCACCTCCATCTGAAGTTGTTGCTTCTTTTGCAAAATTGAGTTCAGCTTCTCCTGTTGTTTTACATAAGTTCTCATTACTTCTTCCATGATTTTCCCCTTATCATCCTCACAAATAACATCTTTGACAAGAAATGAAGATGAAGCTTCATCATGCTTGCTTGAGTCTCTTGCACAAGTAGCAGACTCTGATTTCTTTTTACTTGTAGAATTATGTGAGACCAATGGATCTAATTGACTGTATAATTCTCTATTTGTTTTTAAATCCATTTTCTCCTGTTCCTCAAGTGAGACATCTGGGTAAGACACTGTTTTTTGGTGTTTATTATTAATGTGAGGCTTCTCTGGCTGTCTTGAAAAGGACTTACTTGCCTCTGTCTTTGTGACCTCTTTAGACATTTGGAGCAACCACTTTATCACACATGTATAAGTAGTAGCTGGGATGTAAAAAAGAGTGTGTCTGAGAAACATGGTCACCTTCCTGTTTTATAACAGGATACCATGATTGTAATTCCATTCCTGGTGTTGTATCTGTCTTGGAATGAGTTCTTTTTCCATTTCTCACACTAAACTTCTCCTTCATTTCTTCTAAAATTATCTTCAGTTTCTTTTCTTCAGGTGTCCCCAAGTATTTTTGGTTCACATGAAGATAACAATGCCATTTGGCTGATTCAAAGCCCCAGTGGCAAGTTCTTTTGTCAGGTGATCTGTGAGAATGCATCACAAATGTCTGGGGTGCAAACATTCCACAGCACTCCAGACACTGAATACACGGAGCATGGGGCTGAACATAAAACTGAGGTGCAAAGAGACCCTGACATTTGCCCAAGCATTCCTGTTCCACTTCAAAGGCACTGCCAGTTTCCTTTAACTGGGCCAATGAGTTTTTAGCAGGAAGTACACTACCATTTTGAGGAAAAGTTCGTGGTCGCAATAAAGCATTACACAGTCTTTGTGCATCAGTTAATGTGATCAGCCCACAGGATGGAGCATTGAAAGGAAGTATTCCCAGGACCTTTAAGATATGAAGCTGGTCTGAAGTACACCTTGAACAATATATATATAACTCATCACAAACTGTATTTATTTGCTGAAGTGAAAATTCTCGGAGAACAGAATTTAAGACTTGGGGCAAACAGAGTCTCTTTTCTCCTCCAACTTGAAAACAAGAAATAGATTCCCCTTCCAAAACAGTCTGGGTGAGCTCTGTGGAGCTATCGGAAGGGATGAGCAGTGGGCCAGGAAGAACCTGAGGAGATGGAAGAGGCAAAAATACAGTAGGTGACATGCTTTCTTGGGAATACCGAGCAGAAAATGCTGCTGGTCCACCCAAAGAGCTCTGACTACTTAAATGGAATTGTGCCAATGTATGTTTCAAACTGGGATTTAAATTTAAAGGTTCAGGCACAGAAGTACAGGTCCGCTTGACAGGCTCTCCATCAGTTTCCATAGGTGCTTCTCCATAGTCATCCAAGTGTTCCTTCTTTACCGTTGGCACCTTGTTTATCATTTTTCCATTTGCATGAAAGTCTGTCATCATTTTTTTCACTGGCGGGCTGCCATCATCTCCCATCCCATTCAGTTTTTTATTTGAGCCCTGAACTAAGGAGAAATTTGCCTGTAGGTTTTCCATTGCTATGCTATTGTGTTAAATAATTAAGTCTGAGATTTGCATTTTTATTTAGTTGCTTATTTGAAGAAGAATAACTGTATCAAATACTTTTAACCTATTCATAAAAAATTATAAATTTCCAAAAGGAAATCTTCTTACCCAATAGATTTTGCAACTTTGTTTTGGTTCTGCTTATCCTAGTATAATTTCACTGCAAATACTACAAAATGTCTCTTTTTGCTTCTAGTAATAAATATAATCTTAAGAGGTACACTTCTGAGGAGGCTTTCCTTGGATTCTTCATATATATGTAAAATAACATTACCAATTTCTCAATTCAAGAGGTCCAGCTTCAATGCAATGGTTTGGTTAATCTTTTTTTTTTTTTTTTTTTAAGCAAAGCATGTGTAAAGTTTATGCCATTGATGTTTCATAAAACCTAGACTCCAACCGGTCAAAATAATGCAAACAAATTTAATTTTTACTACCAAGATACCAAAAAAGGAGAGGGGGAGTATCCCCTCTAAAAATGGTTGGTTGGTCTGTGCTGACAAATCGAGGCCTTGTATAAATCTTCACGCCAGTAAGGGCCTCTAGCTTCACTTGAACTTCTACAATCAAAAATGATACTTAACAAAAAAACTGGCCAATTGTCTTCAAGAATTACACTTCATTCTTCTTTAAATTAATCTGTGCCCGCCGCCGCCGTCGCCGCCGCCGCTCGCCCGCTCCCTTCGGCTGTGCCGGCGCCGCTCCGAACCCCACACACATCGCTACACACAGCCCTCTGACGTCACCGTGCCCTCGGCCCGCCCGCGTCACTGCGGAGACACACGGCTTCCCGCAGACGCCGCCGCCGTCTCCGGCCGCCCGGGGGAGAGCGAGGGCGGCGGAGAGGGGGAGGGGGAGGGAACGGAGCCAGCGGCGGCCCCGCGCGAGCGAGCCCGCCGGCGTCGCCGCCCCCTCGCGGCTCCGAGTCCCTTCAGGGACGCGCGCGCCGTCTGGCCTATTGTGGCTCCTCAGGGATCCCCCCCCCCCCTCCCCGCTCTGTCCCCCCGCGCGCGCGCCCCACCCGTCAGGCGCGCGCCCGGCGCTCCTGGCCCAGCGCCCCTAACAACCATTTGGGCAGAATGTTTAAAATATTTTGAAGTATTGGAGGTTTCTTTGTCTCATGACTACGAGTCTTTAAAATTCTGTTATTTTCTGTGATTTTGATTTTATCTAGAGAATAATTTAGTACTTAGCTGACAGTAATTTTTTAAAAGACCAAACATCAACAAAAGCAGAAGAGAAAGTTAAAAGTTTTTTCAAGAAAACATCATAGCCATAGAAAAAACATAAATGATGAAAAAAGAAAAATCTTTCTAGAACTAGGCAGGGGTGCTAGCTTGATGTGACAATCAACTGTGAAATCAAGAACTAGATAAATCTAT